TTAGCCCCTATTTTTGTTTTCTTAGTATGATTAACATCTCATTGTCAACTACCAAGCATGAAAAATTTAAACTATTATGTGAACAGTAAGAAAATGCCATAATTTGTAATGAACTTTGTTTTAAATTTTACCATAAAACTTATGTGAATTGTAAAGTGTTCTGCTTCTAAACAGACAAGACTGTACCTCAATGTTTCTAAGATCATCCTACAGCAATCTATAACTTTAAAATATACTTAAAATAAAAAAAAAACCTCACACTTTGTTTAGCTCCTTCCACTAAAAGTACCTGATTTCTCACGGTGATATGAAAAAGAAAATGCCCTTTCTACTTGCAAATGTCAATCTTGGTAGGTAACTTTATATGAACAACTATAATTTTAGTAACAATAAAATAGGCACATAAAAATACCTTCCTTTTCTTCTGAACTTTTTTCCAAGTATACCAATACCTTCAGTATAATATTCTGGGACTTTCATTAGATTCTGAAACACACTAAAACTTCTGATTGACCTTTTATTACCAGGGTTAATTAAAAACAGACACAGGGAGGCAGGTAGAGGGAATATATATATATATATATATATATATACACACATACATACATACATATATATACATACACACACACTATTATTCTGAAAAGCAGTTTTGAAGTTTTAACATTCAAATAATCCAAATAGAATTGCCCAAGAAATTGAGTGGAGTCAATCTGTCTGCCTATTATCTGCAAAATACAGGTGAGACCTATAAACACATGATTAAAGCTTATTTCCCATAAAACAGCATAAAACCAGTATTGGCAATGAGAAAACAGATGGATCAGATGGGCAGACAAAAAGATTAAGAGTTCACTTTTATATGTGCCCAACTTGAGAATCCTTAGAAATTTTTCCTAATGGAAATAAAAATTGCACAGAGTTAAACAGAAATACACACATGTATGCATGCACAGAGTTCTATAAAAGTATAAAAGTATACACATTTGTTTATCATCGAAATGATAAACAAGAAATCATGTCATTCCTACACCCAAGTGTAAATTGCCCATTTTGAAAAATTAGCATGCTGGTTCAGGATTGGTCTTTAGGGCAATAAGCAACCATAATGGCCTGATATGCTAAATAAACCCACTGAAGTAACCAACATCAGAACCAAGCAAGGCAGATTACACCCACATCCAAAATCCCTGGTGATCTAGGACTAATGAGAACGAAAAAAATAAATATGGGTAAAGGTCCAGAGTGGTTTGGATTTCATGCTCCAACTCCTTCCCTTTCTCTGTCTCTGACACACTGCACCCAGTATACAAACAGCGCTGAATACACCAGTGATGTGTGTAATGTGCAGAAAAATGAGTTGAAAATGTCTTTTTTGACAACTTGTCTCTTAGGGAGACAAACTCCCCGCGAGTTTCCACACAAACCGCAGGTGGGAGTACTGTCCAACTCTGTCCTGGCTTTATTTTCAAAGAAGTTCCTGTAGCACCTCACTGGAAGCCTTCCTCGGGGAGGGCGGGGAAGCTTTCCACTCCTCCCCAAGTTTAGTACAGATAATGTCTCATGTCTCCGCTCCAGCACACAGGTTAAACAGACTGTCCATCTTAAAAGGTTTGAGTTCCGTAAGCTACTTATCCCTCTCCTGCAGTGGAACACATCACCTGGCATTCTCCATACACTCTGTGATGATCCAAACTCAAGAAACCAGTGCAAGTACACGGAGTCTCCTGCATGTGAGTAATACAATCACACGCACGAGAAGCAGCGGATGCTGAGCCGGTGCATTTATCTCGTGCCATTAAAAACAGCTACATATCCATGCAAAATTACTTGGGAATACTGATGACACACAGAGGTATGTCAAAGGCACTTCAAATATCTTCATTTGAGCAAACCTTCTATTTTTCTTAGAAAGCAGTTGTGAGCTACTCAGTTTTTCACAGTGCATATTCCTAGCTACTTACATAGCATAGCCTAAGAAATAACCACATTATTTGCAGACAAATTATTGTAAGAGTAGTTTTTGATGATGGTCAAGTTGATAAGCCTACTAGAAATCATTAGGGAATTTGAATTCTTTCTACATGAAAAGAGGCCATTATACATTAAAAGGTGCTGATTAACTGATCTGTGCTAGTGATTAAATAAATGAAAGCTACACTAGATGTACAAATGATATATTATGAAAAAGCAAGTTTCCCACAAAGTCACATCACTTTGCATGAATGAAGAATCCAATACTAGTTTTCAATGACCATATGCAATGTAGTCACAGAAAAGTTACTAGAATTTTTTTTTTGCCTAACCACTTATTTCTCTTGAGCATGTTCTTAAAGAAATTAACAATTTATTTACATGAGTAACGATGCTTTCATGAGGAAGCACACACCCACATGCAGGTATCATACACACACACACGAACACACACACCATCAACTGTAAGCAATTCCTCCTGTCCAGAAAGACCCGTCCAAGGAGGGTATCATACAATGCACAAGATTTGGAATGTTCGCTATTTCATAACAACAGGTCATGTATTCCAGAGACCATATAGAACATACTAGAAAGTTTATTTAGAAGAAAAATTCAAATAAAAAAAAATTGTATTTCAGAATCTCAGCATGCTGCGCAATGCTTTCATTTAAGTGGACATTTGATAATTGCTACCACTTACTGACCGTGTAGTATGTGTTAGCAATGCACTGAACACCATATTTAATTCTAACAATCCTGACTTGTTAAATGGCTTGGCTTGTGTCACTAATTTAAAATATGGGCTGGGGTTGTAACTGGAACACCATTTGTCTGATTTGGATATCCATGATCGGGGAGTGGGTGGCAGTTAGGTAAGCAGTTAGGATGCCGCCCAAAACCCCACTGGAGTTTGGATACCCAATTCAGGCTTCTGATTACAGCTTCCTGCCCGTGCCGATCTAGGAGGCAGCAGGAATGGCTCAAGTCCCTGGTTCCCTATCACTGCCATTGCAGAACTCCAACAGCATTCTCAGCAACAGGTGCTTACAAGCTTAGCACCGTGACCCGGGAGACAGGAGCACACTCTTGCAATAGCTTTCTCTCTTCTCACGTGTTCTCTCTGCCTCTCAAATATGCAAACAGACAGACTAAAGTGTCAACACTTGCTGCCAGAATTACCACCTCCTAACAGGCAGCTAATGTCCCTTCAATTCAACTGCAGGCTCCAATTTGCCTTGTCCAGAAAGAAGTCATGCCAAGTCAACTATTATGACGTATGTCCTCAACGTTTACTCCAGTAAAGAAAAATAATAACAATGAACTCAATTTGCTACACTTTCTGGTGAAGTGTTGTCAAAACCTATTCTAGACCTCAGGTTCTGAAGTTAGCAAGGATGAAACCACTTCTGATCAAACCTGTTCAGATACCCCTTTAAACGTACACCACACTGATGACTAACCACTTCTCTATTCACCCTAGGAGGCTTATCTCCCAGTACAAGAGAGCCCGGCTTGTGAACTGAGTTCCAGGACTCGCCAACATTCCAGACACAGACGTACTCATAGTTTCAAGAGCTCACTTCTTTGATATTTTCTCTTCCTGTCACACAGGTGAACACTGAAATGTCACTATGTATTAGCATTAAAACTCTTGTTCATGAAAAAAAAAGTTTTCAAAATCATTCTTCAATCCGTGACGATGTTTTCTTCAGTTTTTTCATTGCTAAATGCCCTTCTCACACAAAAAAAATGCTCTTCAAATTTAATTATGCTGTTGTCAAGTGTTTTCACATTAGTCAAGCCACTGGAGCTGGTAACGTGCTACAAATATGTTTAGATTTTTTTTTTTAAAACCTTCATTTCAAAGTTAGTGTAGTAATAACCTTCCTAATTCCTTACTTCTCTTTGCCCTCTACTCTGGTAATTTTCCCACACGAAGTTTACCCTTGACTCTCCTAACTTTATATGAACAACTATCAAGACTAAAACTGTTGGATTATGGCATAGAAAGAAACAAACAAACAAAATCACTGAAAAGGTATTTTTAATCTGAAAACATAAAATTTAATGGTGGCTCCTCTCAAATCTCTTTTCAGAACATTACCAAGAATTTTTAGGGCCTATTTGCACCTTAAGATTTAAAAAAGAATTAAAGGGAAAACAGCTCATAATGAATTCAGCTGTTCAAGAAGTAGGGCTACACTTTTTCACCTGAGGCTGTTTTTTTTCATTCTAAGCTATTAGAAGAGCTTGCAACTATCTTCAACCTACTCACACTCACTTGCAGTCATGTGTGGGAGTGTAACTCCATCTGAAAAGCCATTTAGAAATTACACAACCAGGAGACACCTACCAGAATGGCCTGCTGTTCAAAACCGCAATTACACTCCCCAATAAGTTTTTTTTCTAAAAGCTGCCTTATCAGCTACTGATAAGTACAATTCCTAAACACTTTCACAATTACATTAAACACAATCGCTTCACATCTCGCCTTCCACAGTTCCTGATGGGCTAAGCAGGAAATCAAATGAGCTGAACCTCTGAAATAAATTTTCATAATGAGGTGATGCTCAGAATTGCAGAATTCAAGGCAAAGCTTTAAGCCATATTGAGAAACAAGCACAAAAGAATGAAAGAAACCAATACAGCACGCCTTCAGTACTTTCTGCTGCTGCTTGAACAGTAAGAAAACAATTTCCTAATGTTTGCCAGGAATTACACAGCGTGCGTTCACTACCAACACGCCCCCCTATTCGCCACGCGCCTCTGAGGCTCGGCCTCGGGATGAGGACCAATGAGCCTCACGTCTGCAACGCCAGGTGTCCAGAAGCGACCACGCAAAGGCCTGGCTGGACCGGCGCCTGGCCTCGAGGCCACGACCCGCGGCCGGCCACGTCGCGCGGCCTCCCACCCCCGCGGCCGCCATCGCCCACGCCCTGTCCTCCCGCTGCCTAGCAACGCGGCGGCGCTGCCTGGCAACGCGGCCCGCCCCATCCACGCGGGAAAGCCAGCGGGGGTCACGCTACCTCCTTTTTCTTCTGTCCTCCCCCGAGCTGGATGCAGAGCAGCAGCAGCAGCAGGAGAAAGGGAAAGCTGCCCGTGGGCAGGTACCGCAGCCGCCGCCCCGCCTGTCTCCGGCGTGAAGGAGCGCCCCGGGCACCCATGGCCGCAGGGCAGTGCCTCCTCCACGCGCGGTAACCGTGCGCGCCCAGCTCCTACCGCGCCTCACGCTCGCCAAGCCGGTCGCCGGGAGCCCCCAGGGTGGGCCCTCGGGGGCGGCAGCGGCTTCGCGAGGGACCGGGCTGGCGGCCGAGGACGGGGAGGAGGAGACTGACAGAGCATCCGGTTCACCGGGAGAGGGACCTGGAAAGGAGCGGGATGGGGCAGGAAGTGGGCGTGGCGACGCAGCGAGGCTCCGCGCGTGCGGCGGGCAATGGGCGCTGCACCTGCGCGGGGGGACAGGTGCTTCTCGCAGACCAGAGCTGGAGGCTGTGCGCTGCTGAACCGATCCCTGGCCCGGCCAGATCCCTGCTACCCCGACACTGAAGCCTCGGACACAGAGCTCCTGGGATGATGGAAAAGAGCTTTTGTGGAATAAATAACCTGTTCCATCCAACCATCAGCTGTCTTCAATCCCCCAGGGGCATTTAGTAGGGACAAACCCGGGTTTCCACCTATGGAGGTGCCGGAGATGGCAATCTCGCCTCCTCCACTTGGTTCTGTTCACAAGTTTGCTGCATTGCCATGGTGCAGAGTACTGCAGACATGGAGAGCACTTGATGTGACTCCTGTTCTCTAGGATACTTGGAGGACAATAGCAGTCAACCACTCACTGAGCAGATATAAAAGAGGTCTTTTAAGGAAAGATTTATCTCATTTGAAAGTTGAGTTGGAGAAATCGAGAACTTCCTTCATCGGGAGGCTCAGTCCCCATGTGTTCTTGGCAGAACCACACCACCAATGTGCATGGCAGGGACCCAAACACTTAACGCCATCTTACCCTGCCTTTCAGCCAGGTAGGTGGTGGAGCAACGTTGCCCCAATGGGGTACCTGCACAGGAACTGTAGTAATCCACTCTGCGGCACTGTGGTCCCAGAGTACTGTTCTAACATATCCTGGCTTGTATTGCCCTACCTCGACATGGCTTCCCTGGTGCGGGGACCTCTCCCGTCATTTAATGAAGCTCTACATCCTGGGGTCAAAACAGCATATTTAAATACATAAAAAATGAATATATAAGATTACCAAGGAACTAGTCAGAGTAAAGTAAAAGAGTGTTATCAAAATTAAACCAATTAACCTTATATGTACGGCAACAAATGCTTATATTTGGGAAGATATTAGAAATAAACATTTAGCCTTGGGAGCCTGCAGCTGTGTGAGAGACCTGAAACAGCTTCCGGGCTTCTGGGTTCTGGTTGGCTCAGCTCCAACTGTTGTGGCCACTTGGGGAGTGAATCAACAGATGGAAGATCTTCCTCTCTGTCTCTCCTCCTCTCTGTATTTCTGACTTTCAAAAAAAAAAAACTGAAATTAAACATTTTTTTAAAAAAAGTGAGAAACTTTTAGAGCCTAGTGGCTAAAGTCCTTGCCTTGCATGCTCCGAGATCCCAAGTGGGTGTCAGTTCTTGTCCCTGCTGTTCCACTTCCTTTCCAGTTCCCTGCCTGTGGCCTGGGAAAGCGGTAGAGGGTGGCCCAATCCCTTGGGATCTTGCACACACATGGGAGACCTGAACGACTCCTGGCTCCTAACTTCAGATCAGCTCAGCTCTGGCTATTGGCTGCTTGGAGAGTGAATCAGCAGACAGAGGATTTTTCTGTTCCCCCTCCTCTCTGTATATCTGACTTTCCAATAAAAATAAATACATCTAAAAATAAAAATAAATAAACATTTAGACTTCACAGTGTGAATGACCAAGCTGTTCAGAATTTTCCAGATGCTGGCCAGCTATGTGGGATAAGGGATGCAAATAAATTCTTGCCATTACATGCAATCTAGTAGGAATTCTAAAAATGTGGGAGTCTTGAATTAGGGCTGATTGCAGTATTTCAAAATATCTTCACAATTCTACTGTGATACGAAAAATCTAACTTGTATGGGAAACAGGTTCTGCTAAAACTTCTTAAAGTGGCTTGTTAACTGTCTTTATTACATGCAAGAGACTTCAGCATTTTGTGAGCTCCTGATAGTTAGAATTTAAATTTCCATTACTCCAGATGAAGACACTTACTCCACAACAACCCTCTCAGATACCTAATACTGTCTAATGCAGACATGTTCAGATTAAAAAAAAAAAAACTCAAGGCCAGAAGAACAATGGTATCCGGGCTCTGTAAGGCATAACTGTGCTCCATGAGCATTTTGAAAGAAATTTGTGAATCAATGTCTCTTACCTCAGGCTTTTGATTTGCCATGACTGTATATGCACTTTCCTATGTTATTACTTAAACCAACTTTAAATGAGTTAAACTTACCAATTCATCTGAGCACAGACGAATGAGTGAACTTGGCAGCAATCAGGAGGAGAAGAACTTCAGAAAACCAGTTCTAATAATAAGCACAGCAGTTCTGCAGGGGCTGAACGTGGAGGACAAGAAGTTATTTAATTGGCTACAGCTGGGCTTTTGTCTTGAGCATGGTCTGGTGGGTAGGCCCTTCTGTTATAGCCAGGTAGCTACTTGGTTGTGATGGGCTTTTTCCCCCATTTTTCAAATCCCAAGAAAAATTTCCAAGTATAGGTGTCTCCAACTATAGAAACAACCTTAGACGTATGGCCTGCTTGTTTTGCTTTAAGCCTACAAAGGGACAGTTCCTTGCTTTCCCTTGAAATGTATGAATAGAGGCTCTTTGGGACCTTTTTTTAAAAAAGTAAGTTTCTGATTTATATCAGTTAAATATTAGATTTGCTCAACACGACAAAATCCTTCATCTTCCCCTTTCTCTCTGATGTGTTTCAATTTCTGTGTTGATACCACCATGCTACTCTTAGCCATTTGCAGCACCTCTGAGCCACCTTCCCTGTTCTCTCCCTGGAACCTTGCTGCTGAGGTCCATATTGTTTCCAGGCTGCTTCTCTCCTCCCCACAGTGCCTTAAGAATGTGTTTTCCCTTTCCCAATCTAGAATTTATTAGAATGAATTAGATATAGTTAGTTATTCCTCCTATATCTGCTTAAAAAATATTAGTATCCTCCTGCACTACCATAATCCAAGACTACTTAGCCCTGACATCCTACGTTCTATTCTTGGTAGAGCAGCCAGAGTAATCCTTCTAATCCACAAGTCAGTTCATAGTATTTTCCGTGTCCTCGTCTGTAACAGCAGTCATCCATCCCCTCAACCTTTGATTACCTTTCACCTGAGTACCTTCCCAATTACATTTCCTGTCTTTCTTTTCCTACTTTATCACTATGCTCTACCTGTGCCACCTGTCTTGTTTTGCTTAAATATGCCACGCACACCTGCTCTAAAGCTTTCATTTTTGTTATTTCCTTATATTGTAGGCATGTTCACCTACAGAGATGTTTACTTGGTATACCTCATCACTTTATTTAGATCAACTCTCAGATCTCCTAAAATCCAAGCTTCTGCTCTTTGAAAGTAACCGATCTAAAATATAAATTCCCTACCCTTAAAACACACACACACACACACACCCCTTAGCTTTTTATAGGATCAACCCCTCCACTACCTGACATTATGCTCTTGTATTCTGTGTTTCCAGTTCCCCTCAATTACATGTAAATTTTTAAAAGATTTATTCAATTTCTATTGCAAAGTTAGGTTTACAGAGAGAAGAAAAGGCAGAGAGAAAGATCTTCCTTTCACTGGTTTACTCCCCAGCTGGTTGCAATGGCCAGAGGTGAGCTGATACAAAGCTAAGAGCCTCCCCTTGGCCTCCCATGCAGATGTAGGGTCTCAAGGCTTTGGGTCATCCTCTACTGCTTTCCCAAGCCACAAACAGGGAGCTGGAAAGAAAGTGGAGCAGATGGGATATGAACCAGCACCAGCACCCATACTAGATCCCGGAGCATGCAAGGAGATGACTTTAGGCTACCACGCTGGGCCCCTTAAGATTTATTTTCAACTGGGCCCTACCTGGTTGCCTAGAGGCTAGTCTCATCTTGCATGCTTCAGGTTCCCATAAGGGGCCAGTTCCTACCCGAGTGGTCCCGCTTCACATCCAGCTCTCTGCTTGTGGCCTGGGAAAGCAGTTGAGAATGGTCCAAAGCCTTGGGACCCTGCACCCAAGTGGGAGACCCAGAAGAAACTCTGGACTCCTGGCTTTGGATCGGCTCAGCTCCAGCCATTGCAGCCACATGGAGTGTGAAACAGTGGATGTAAGATCTTCCTCCCTCTCTTCCTCTTTGTATATCTGACTTTCTAATAAAAATCAAATAAATCTTAAAAAATAAGATTTGTTTTAAATCTTCCTGTGGTCTATGGAAAGGAACAAAGACTGATACCATATCTGTCTATAATCTAATTTATGGTTGAGGCCATGGTTGAGGCCCACTACTCAGAAGTAGTAGAGGCCTTTCAAAATATTGCTGCACATTGACAATGCACTTAATCACTCAATAAGCATCATGGAACTATACAACAGCATTGGTGTTCTTCTCATGCCTGCGAACACAGTATCCATTCTGCAAACCATGGATTATAGAATACTATGTTACAGCCTTATTACTTAAGATATACATTTTATAATGGACCTAGACAATAAATTAAAAACCTTCCAGGAAAGATGCACCATGCTAAATATCATTATGAACATTTGTAACTCATAGAGGAGCAAAATAACATTAATATGAGTTTGAAAAAAGTTGGTTCCAAATCTCATGGATAATTTTTGGAGTATAAAACAAGTAGAGGGAATAATTATAGATACGGGATCAAATAAGAAATTAGAAGTAGAGCCTAAGTATGTGATTGAATTACTGCAATGTCATGCTAAAACTTTGAAGAGCTTCTTACAAAATAACAAAGCTTCTGGTTTCTTGAGATTGAGTCTATTCTTGTAGACAGCTGGATAATCATTACTGAAATGACAAAAAGCATCTGTAATATTACATAACCTTAATTGACAGGGTTTAAAAGGTTGAATCAAATTGTGAAAGTTATTCTACTTTTGTGTAAAATGCTACCAGAAAAATGTGATCTTCTCTGTTTTAAGAGATCCCCACGGCACACCCCATATTCAACCACCAATACCATGATCAGTCAACAGACATCAGAAGCAGAGATACTCTGCTAGCAAAACGATGAGAATTCGCTGAAGGCTCACTCAATCAACAGCATTTTTGCAATATATTTAATTAAAACGCAAACTGGTTTTGGGGGGTAATGTTATTGCACAGTTAGTAAACTAAATTGCAG